AATTTTTTTAGATTTTGTAGAAAATGATCCAACAAATAATGTCTCAAAGATCCGTCCAACAGTTGCTTGTGGACAAGATTTTCACCCGATTTACTGAAAAAAATTCCTTCTGGAAATATTCTACTTGAGAAAATCTGCCTGATATTCACATTTACTGCAATATCTTAGCACACTTGTGTCATCATTACATTTTGTCACATTACATTCGAAGCGTTAGAAAAAGCCCCAAAACAAGCTACATGAGGCGCCGCTTTATTTTTCTGGGTGCCACCCATAAATAGCTAGAACCACAGCACGAAAACCGATATTTAAGCAACCTTTCCGCAATAATTAAAGACTTATTAAAGGTGGGAAAATATTTCAGTAGACTTGACGACTTCGTAAAGGCCGCTGAAAGGCAAATTCCGCCTTTCCATCACCTTTCAGTGTGCTTAAATACGACGTAAATATAATTCATACCTTTACGCGTCCTTTACAAATCCGTAAAATCACAGCATAAAAGCCCACATTTAATCAAACTTTCCGCAATATGTAAATAAGTATTAAAGGTGGGGAAAATATTTCAGTAGACTTTACGACTTGGTAAATTTATGCCGCTGAAAGGAAAATGTTGCGTTTCTCAGTTTATAATCAGCTTACGGTACAAATCTAAAAAAACAAGACTTTTTCCCGTCAACGGCTTCGCAGATACCAGTATGCTAGGATTAGGATAGGCGTCAAAATCCTGGTTTACTGCCCTAAAGTTACATCGGATGCCTTTAATAGTTGACGGCAGTACAAGACTCACAAAATTATTGTTTTGGAAATATAATTCGCTGCCATCCAAACATATTCACCAATTTCATCATTTCTGTAGTATAAAGCGCATGCCATAATTGCATTTTTGTTGTAATTATAGAAAATGACGTACCTTCTATCGTTCTACCTTCTACCGAAGACTCTCCTACTCGCACGGTCGCATTACGTATATTAGAACGATAGAAGGTACGTCATTTTCTCTAATTAGGCCATGTTGATTTGATTATATGGATGACATCCACGCGCGCATGAATTTTCGGCCGTTTCCAAAAAAAAAAGTTTTCAACCATACTGTAAATCGTGCAAAATGAGCAAAAATATACCATAACTTGCAAGGAAAACATTTAGAAACTATACCAATGTCGTAGAATGCCAAAATCAAAGGAAAAAAGACGAAAATGTAAAGAAATGAATTCGAAGAGTAGATTATTCACCGTAACATATTCTGTGCCATTTGTTCAACCTTCATGACCACGTAGATTTCATAGTGAAAGCAACTTTTTTTTTTGCAAAACTTTTTTTTTATTCGCACGCTCGCATCAGTTTTGGGGTTCCCAGAGGATGTCATCCATATAATCAAATCAACATGGCCTTACAACAAAAATGCAATTATGGCATGCGCTTTATACTAGAGATATATTCAAAACAATAGTTGACCAGTTTGTCGATACAACTTGTTGGAAATACTACATCGAGGAAGGGGGAGGGGGGTGGTCTTACGTCATATCCGTCACCGTTACTAGGCATTATGGGAAGTGTGAACCATAGTGACTTCCTAATGAAAAACAGCCAGAGATGGTATCAGATTCTCAGCTGTTTTGTTCTCAGTTGGCTAATTTTGTTACACCGGTTCCCACGGTCTTCTCGGAGACGGGTAATGCTCTCCTGGTGGTATCTTTGCGTGCTTTAATTGAGTTTTCTCGGCAGAAAGAACTGTTTTATCTATTTAACCCCTTGGTGGGTGACAAACAGACCACTAAAGATGCTCCACACGCTTTATATGTAAAGCCTACTCTCGAAGCAGAGGTTTGGGTTTGGGGTTGTTACCCAGTGCCAAAAAAGAAAGTCTGAAAAAAAAAGCCTAACGCCACAACAATTTAATTTCTTGGTTAACGGATTCGCCCCCTTCATCTTTTTTCTGACTTCCCCCCCCCACCAAAAAAATTCAGAATCAACTAAAAAAATGCTCATATTTTGCCCTCAACAGTTGAAAACAGTCCTTTTCTTCCTAGTTGTTACAGTTATTCCATTTTTTTCAATGCAGTGGTATCATTAAAAGTTCATTGTTAACATTTTGAACCAGCCTGGTGTGTTGACTTCATGGCTCCTATCGTACCATTGTGGGCCATAATAGGATGCCTAGGCCTGTTTTATTTTTTATTTTTCGCCCGCCTGCTCCATTATTTTTCTAGAAAAATCCGTTAACCAAGTAATTAAATTAGTGTGGCCTAAAAACACGCTAAAAATAAGCCAAAACCCAAACCTCTGCTTGGACAGTAGTCACACAATCAGAACGTTCCCCAGAATACCCAAGTTCGTCCCTTGGTCGGCTTGTATTCGGGGGAAGGTTCTGAATGCGCGGCAGGGGCTTTACATAGATTTAGGCTACGCCTTCCTGTACGAATCGAGTCGAATTTTAGTCAAATTTTAGTCAAATTTTACTGCAAATCACGCCCCGACCTACTCACAAACACCAGCCAAATGCCGACCAACCATGGCCGAACCTCCCATCCACACCTGAGTTTTTAAACATTTCGAAACCTTTTTTTCGGCTGGCGCAGCCGAAAAGTAGCCGACCTGGTTGAACATTAGCCGACCATAGTCGACCTTGTTCCCGACCCACTCCTAACCATGTTTTTTTTTATATATATATATATATTCCAACATGTAATCACAAAACGTGGTGACGGCACACTCAAGTTTTTTCAACTTATATTATAAATGCCGCCACCAACACAGGAGACAGTACAATACTCATTTTCACCTGAGTGAAGTGAGGAAAGTCGTGTAATAAAGTGCCTTTCCCAAGGGCACAAGATCGGTGGCATGTCAGGACTCGAACCCAAGACCTCTTGGTTCCGAGTAGAGCGCTCATACGACCCCACAAACCATGGTTGGTGGGCGTTCGGCTAGAGATCGGGAGTCCAAATTCGTGAATGTGTGACAGGGCCACTCATCTGTAGTATCTTTGTATTAAGAACGATTTCAAATCATTTCAGAGTGTTTTGTACTCTATGTTGTTTAATAAAAAAATCATTTCATACATGATGGAAACAGATAAACGGTCTAATACACTCCATGCTGTACATTTTATATAGAACCACTTAATTGTGTCAACACAAAAGTTACAGTCGTTACAAATACAAACGTGATCAAATTTATTTCAATGACAATCTCTTGACATTTTCTTAAATCATACAGAAGATAGTGCAACTCACGCAAGGAGCAGGGTCCACATTATACGTACGCGACATAGGTTTGAATATTATATAAGAGATGCCTATGTACAATCTTTGATATTCATGTTTTTAGATCTATATTTATATACTTAAATTGGTGTGGCCTCAAAACTGTAAAATGCAACAACAAATGCAGCACAAGCACACTGATGTGATCACACACACACTGAAATATCATACGTCGGCCCGAAAATGACCATGCAGTAGTACTATGGGGTATCTGTATCTGTATAGCCTGTATAAGAACCCTTCGGCGTAACACACCAGCTTCTGTATCTGTATCGTCAGTATAAGCACCCTTCGGCGTAACACACCAGCTTCTGTATCTGTATAGCCGGTATAACAGCCCTTCGGCGTAACACACCAGCTTCTGTATCTGTATCTGTATCTGTATAGTCAGTATAAGCACCCTTCGGCGTAACACACCTGCTTCTGTATCTGTATAGTCGGTATAACCGCCCTTCGGCGTAACACACCAGCTTCTGTATCTGTATAACCGGTATAACCGCCCTTCGGAGTAACACACCTGCTTCTGTATCTGTATAGTCGGTATAACCGCCCTTCGGCGTAACACACCAGCTTCTGTATCTGTATAACCGGTATAACCGCCCTTCGGCGTTACACACCAGCTTCTGTATCTGTATAGCTGGTATAAGCACCCTTCGGCGTAACACACCAGCTTCTGTATCTGTATAGCCTGTATAACCACCTTTCGGGGTAACACACCAGCTTCTGTATCTGTATCTGTATAGTCAGTATAAGCACCCTTCGGCGTAACACACCAGCTTCTGTATCTGTATAGCCGGTATAACCGCCCTTCTGTGTAACACACCAGCTTCTGCATCTGTATAGCCAGTTAACCACCGCACTTCGGCGTAACACACCAGCTTCTGTATCTCATTCTGTACCTGTATAGCTGGTATAACCGCCCTTCGGCATAACATGTACACCACCTTCGCAGGCACGCGGCGCAGCGGCAGCTGGCTACATTACACCAAACGACTTGTTACATCTAACCTTTGAACATCTAACTCTAGACATTGTTTAAAGCTATCTAATGATAATGCCCCTACTGTACTTGGTAACAGTGAGTTCCACTCTGCTATAGTTCTTGGAAAATATGAGTTTTTGAACACATCAATCATTGGTTGATTACTAGTACTTTGACAGACCTGATAATGACCATACAGTTATACTATGGAGTATCGGCTACTATTCCCCGAAATGTCCACTGTCATCAGTAAAGTATATATATAGGACGTCTTTTCTTTAATCGTGAAGTCTTTGTAGACATCGACAGAACAAAATTTTGGCAAAGGCCACAGCAAGTAACCTTTATGAATGACATCCTCCAGAGACAAAATTAATGCGAAAAACAAGGCGGGCAAAAATACAATTAACTAGAACTAGATAGATTAGAAAAGAGGCATTGTCGTACCATCACGGGTATACAGCTACTACACTGGGTTTTCATGTGCGATGGAACACCTTGGACTGGCAACACTTGAAATCAAACGTGAGCAATTCAATTGTGCCTAAAGTTTGCTGGATCCCTGATGGTCTCTGAGCCGATTTTTTTCGGTTTGTACATGTTTACCAAAGCCAAAGGGTAACAACATTTCTTGCCTTTTCTTTATTCAAAATCAGGATAACATTAATGCGCGCGTCGATGCCATCCATAAAAATTACTTGTACAATGTACTTCCTTTCGCCTAACAATTGTGACATTTTTGCCTAATTTTCTTACGGTGTAGGTTCCACCGTCACTTGTTTCTTCTTATACAGCATGTATCCGACGACTGCCGCGCCCGCTCCCACTACAACCACGGCCCCGACCACCCCGCCCGCCACCGCACCGACCGGCGCCGTGTTAGCGGCGGCAGAACCGCCCTCCTCCGGCCGGCTAGTCGTCGTCGAAGCCGTCGATGGAGCCCTGAGATCCGGCGCCGTACTTTCCGCGATGTTTCCACCACCCACGGTTGTAGTGGTTGTCAGGACGGTTGTAACTGCCGGCGTGGTGGTTGTTACAACCGGGGTCGTGGTTGGTCCCTCGGTTGTAGGATCTACGGGTGCATATATGTTCGAAAACTTTTGTGACATCTAAAGATGATGGCCTTATGACCGTAGCCAATTTGATAATGTTCGTAAATATATAAAATTACGGTCATGACTTATTTTCATAACAAGGTTGCAATTTTTAAGAAAATTTTCCATTCCTTTTAGTGCTGTTACATCATGTCAACATTTGAAACAGACCTTTGAATCTATTAAAAAAGACATTTATGGTTAGTGCTAAAACAGTCCAGAAAAGGCGCACTCAGTTTTTGGTGCCACCATAAACTACCAGAATGTAAACAAACATGAAACTCGTAAGACGTCATATTTTGGCACGTCCACTTCCTGAATGGCACTTATTTGCAATGGATTAGGGTTGATTCAACTTACTTTGTAAAGAAATGACCAGAAAATTTACTTTTTGTATCGTCCCAATGTTACATGATGCAGCTTTAACGGCTTCTATCTTCTCAATGACCAAATCTCCTACCTATAGCTGCTACATAATACTTAGGCCATGTTGATTTGATTATATGGATAACATCCAGTGGAATCCCCAAAATTGATGCGAGCGTGTGAAAAAAAGGCAAAAAAATTGCTTTCAACATGAAATCTACGTGGTTGAACAAATGACAAGGCGTATGGCATGATGAATATAATTTACTCTTCAAATTCATTTCTTTACATAGTCGTCTTTTTCGTTTGATTTTGGCATTCTACGACATTGATATCGTTTTCTGATTTTTTTTTTGCAACTTACGGTATATATATATATTTTTTTTTTTGGAAACGGCCGAAAATTCATGCGCGCGTGGATGTCATCCATATAATCAAATCATGGTCTTACTGCTAGAGTCGTGCAAAAGTACGAGAAGACTTACAGACACATCCGGCTTCATCGCTGCCGTCAGTACAGTCGTTAACCCGGTCACACAGCTGGGCTGTCTCCAGACAGCAGCTGTTACACGGACAGGCGAACTGGTCAGCCGTGCAGCTGGTGGGACCTGGGGGAACAGTATGGCCGTGTCTAAATGGAATCACCCAAGGCGCTTACCTGTGGTTTACCCCGAAGCCGGTTTACCCCGAAGTTGCTCCATCTGAATTCGAACGCACATTGAAAGCGCCTCGATCCCAAGCCACTTCTAGAGGTGGTTTCGAATCGGTTTCCCCGCATCGCGATTTGCGTCTGAACGCAATGTGATTTCAATGTAACTTCGCCTGGTCATGGATTACGGGATGATATTTCGTTATTCATATGCAATACCAATTTTTACGTGGCAGCAACTTAAGCTAAGGTCCCAATTGGGAAAAGGGGCCCTGGCGGGTAGTTCCCGGGCTGTTTTTTACCACTTTCGGGCGGGACCCCGACGTGGCCCCGCGGGGCACTCTGCGGCTACCGGGCTATTTTTTGGCCCGTCGGGGCCCCGATAAGAATTTAATTCTGAGTTAAATTCTACCCGGGCCCCGTTGACAAAAAGACGCCTTGACCTCATCGTGAGAACACCGAGAGGTACCCCTCCGGTTGCCGGCATTCCACCGGGACACATTTCTTACGTCACAGACCAGATGAACAGAATAAAGGTGTGTACTTCGTAAACCCGGGTAAAATGTGTGACCTTACAGATCAAATGATCACAACAAATACGTGAATTCTGCATTATGTATAGGTCAATACAAGACATCGTCAGAGAATCTGCTGGGTACCTGCCGGGTGCCTGCCGGATACCGACCAAAGAGGGTGACAAAATTTCTACCAAAATGCTACTGAAGGAAACTTTTAATTGTGACCACGACAGCCGATGCCCGCTCGACTCCTGAACCCGGCCGGGGCCAGCCGGGGCTACATCCCCGACGGGCACCGGCGTAATTGGGACCTTAGCTTTAAAGAGCAGTAAGAGTCAAATAATGTGTCCGTTCTAGGGCGAGCTTCACCGCCTCTGGCGGGACCACGCCGGCATTCGGCCGAGATACGCTGGGAGGGGGGCATCAGCAAGCAGGTCGTTGACCTCTGACATTAATAACACGCCACCTTGCGTGTTTTCATCAAACAACAATAAATGTAGCTCAAGTGAATTGTGATCTGACACGGTTTCACCAGATGTGAGGAATGTGAGTTACCCGAATCGCGGCCTGAGTGATTCCGTTTAAACACAGCCTAATATTACAAGGCAGGGAAACAGATGTGCGGGTTATGCAACAAAACACCAGCACACATGTGGAGGCAGCGCGCCTGATTAATGAGGTTCTCCCTCTGGAACAGTCTACATGTACATATCTATTACAGCCTGACCTATTTCAGGCCAAATGTTTGAAAACAAAAACCTGACGTGTTATTTTGTTCTGTACTGTGGTGTACTGTGTAAAAATATTTACAAAAACTTTCATATTCCATGGAGGTATGAGATCTCCGAATTCTTGTTTTCTTAGAAATGTCAAAACTCCAGAATTATTTGTCCTTACCTCGTTCGCAGGTGTAAGCAGGTACGTTCGTAGGAACTAAAAAGTAAGAGAAATAAAAAAAAAACAAGTTAGGAACGATTTTTCATGCAAGACGGTAACATTAATCCTTTGATATGTTAAGAGGGTATCTTCCATATATGTAGTTCTACTGCGTACTCCAGTCTATGACCCCTGTACTCACATGAGTGCCATACCTATTACTAGTATTAGATACATTGACATATATTAAATCTACTCAAAGTAGATACTGATTTTGGGTACGCGAAAGCCTAGCCTCCTTCGCAGACTTGTTGGGCGTCGGCGTAATTTTTTTTGTGAGCGACGCGAGTAATATGCCGCGGAGCCACGATTTTGACGTCGAGGGAGCTTTGCCACGGAGAGAAGGTTTCCCGCTCCAACAGATATACAGCATCAGCCTCTATCAGGCTTCGGGAGGCGGCTGGAAAGAGTAGAAATCGGCCAAATAGAGAGATAACATGCCAGGGTGCGGCAAAATGTTTTCTCCCCGCAAACTCCCCTATTATCTCTCTATTTTGCTGATTTCTGCTCTTTTCAGCCGCCTCTCGAAGCCTGGTAGAGGCTAACACAGCACTGGTCCTTACCCTTCTGACATATGTAGTACTTCTCGGCGCTGGTGTCCGCAGTGGCCCAGTTGAACGCCGCGGTGGAGTCCAGGTACCCGCACGGCAGGGACGTGTCCGGCTGGTCGGCAGCCCACTTCATGTACCCGCACTGAGGTAGTCTGTGGTGGGGAAAAACAGAAAGTGTTGTAGCTTCTTGTGCCATCAGTATCATTGTAAAACCCCTGTCACATATTCACGACTTTGGCCTTCCGAACACTAGCCGAACGTCCCCAACTCGTTGTGGGGTCGTGTGACGCAGTCGGTAGCGCGTTCGGCTAACACCCAAGAGGTTGTGGGTTCGAATCCTGCCCATGTTACCTATCTTGTGCCCTTGGGAAAGACACTTTACACGACTTTCCTCACTTCACACAGGTGGAAATGAGTACCTAGCTTCGGTTAGGGACGTCCCTCGGACAGGACGTTAAATGGAGGTCCCGTGTTTGGAACAGACACACCCCACGCACGTGAAAGAACCCACCGCACTTATCGAAAAGAGTAGGGGACCTTCCCGGTGTGAGTGGTTCAAACCTTACAGTCCGGTCTTACGCAGCTTGTACATGTACATTGTACGCACATGTACGTACAAAACCGGTGTGTTACCGGTTATGCGAAACAAACAAACAAACAGACAAACAGACAAACAAACAACTATAGTTAGAAGTTGGTCGGCTGGCTTTCGGCGAATTCGCTACTATTTGCCTATACGCCAGCCGAATGTTTCTCAAAAACATTCGTGGGTTGGTCTTAAGGTTCGACCGTGGTTGGCCAGCCGATCATCCGAGAGTAATTCAGCAGTGTTCGGGGTATAGACGAGATTGAATTTGACTCGAATTCGTTTACAGTCGTATAGAAATGTCTAAATCAGGTCAGACTGCTCCCGAGAGTCACCAGAACCAGGTCGGCAGGTGCTCGGGAACAAAGTCGGGAGACGGTCGTTAATGTGTGACATGGGGTTTAAGGTGCACGAATAGCTCACAAATCTTACATTTGGTACGTTAGTGTAGTACATGTATCTTAGAAAAACACAGTATATTAGCTTTAGTATCATTATGGACTAGCCCGTTAGAATTATGTCGTAGTATTGGTTCGTATATGTACCCGTGTTGTTTCTTCTTTTCCATACATTGTACCAGTTACAGTTGTTGAGCAATAAAGTTGATTTGATTTCTTTGTATTATGGCCGGATGAGAAAATGGTGATTGTGTATGTGTTGAGGACGTCGACATTTAACGCAACAAGTTGTGGTCAAAGGCGTGAAGCGACTGGTAGGTAGAGCGTTCACTCTGACAACAAGAGCGAGCTCTAGGCAAAACCGTTTAGAATCTACGTAATTTGTACAACTGTTAGGCCACACCAAGTAAATTTTATGGATGACGTCCGCGCGCGCATTGATTTTGGCCTGTTCCTAGAAAAAAAACCCAAGAAATTCCGCTTTCTGTTACTATGACCAAATAGTCACGACAGTGCCGCAAATAGGTTTGTACGGACAAAAGCTTATAAAGCATCAAGTAAGACTTCCATTAGGAATTCAGTTTGTTACATGCTGCCACATTTGAAGAAACTTGCTGACCGCTCCATCTATCTCCCCAAAGCACAAGACGACAACTGCTGTTCCACCTGATTTATTGCTGTTTTGATGATGAATAAAAGACTTCTTGCTTGTTACACTGTGTCACCTCATTCAATTTGTGTCCTAACATTTGTCGTCTCTTAGTATATTTCTAATGTAGGCATCTTGTTTTTAGGGCCCTTCTTGTTTTTTTTTCGCCCTCTCGCATTATATTTAGGGTCTCCAAAGGACTTACTTGGTGTGGCCTTACATGAAAACTTACTCTGTGTCGTCTGAAAACTTGAATCCTCCGTTGACGGTGTCAGGTTTGATGCCGACCCAGTGGTCTGAGTTGGGGTTGACCAGCATGCCCATCCCTACGATGAACTGGTGAGTCCTCTCGTCGTACGGAGCGGCCAGCCGGGCTTGCTCGGCGGCACAGACCGACTCTGCGCCGGCGAAGGTCGCGACTGTCGCCGACACCTTGTAGCAGTAATGCCCGGGGCCCACCGTCCACCCGGACGGGCAGGGGTCGTTGACCAACACTGTTGAAGCAAGTAAAACAATTATCATCAGATTCTACTCTAATTGTTTTATTACCTTTGCCAAGAAGTTTATGTTTTCGTAGGCGTTCGTGTGTCTTTCTGTGTCTGTGTGTGTGTGTGTGTGTGTGTGTGTGTGTGTGTGTGAACATGATAACCCAAGAAGGCTAAGATGGATTGTCTTGATATTTAATAAGTGGGTAGGTCTTTATGAGACGTGGAACTGATTAGATTTGGGGCACCCTAGCGGCTTGTTATGGTACTGCAGCTGAAATTGCGGTTTGGATATCTCGTGATCTGGACATGCTAGGGTCATGAAATTTACATGGTATATAGCTCTTGGGCTGGGAATGAAGTGACACGAGTTTGAGCCCCCTAGCTGCTTGCTCTGGAACTGCAAGGGCGTTAGTTGAAAAATGTTTAAAGGCGGATAACTCAAGAACCGATTGATGGAACGTCGTGATTTTCGGCATGTAGGTAGCTGAAGTGATGCTTGACATAATAATATTACAATTATGCAAATATTAATGTAAGTTGCATAATTAATGAGGAAATTCTATAAATCAGCTGCATCCCATGATAGGACTATTCAAGCTTGTGACATATGTCATAAAGAACGGCAGAAATACAGGCAGATATTGATTATGCAGACCAACACTTCATTTGCATAATTAATGGGAAAATTATGATTAAGGTATATAACCGATCAAAAACAGCAAAGCCTTTATATGGTGTACGCAGGTAATTATAGACAGTGAACATGGTAGGTGTTTGGTAAGGCTATATTCATACTCATAAGTCCTGCAATTCGGACTCAGGTAAGTGTTATGACGGAATGTGTACTCACAACTTCCACAGTTGCTAGGGCTAGTACCATTAACATCACCTGAAAATAAATACATTTGTTCTGTTCAAGACCTCATGACAAGGAAAAGGAAAGTATGAATTACGTATTCAAATGTGCTAATGTGGGACAGCATTTGTCAATATCATAGAGATTGCCTTATTTAGAATATTTCCAGTTTTGCCACCCTGAAATCGCATTGGATGCCTTGAACTTAAAACAGGTGCCCATAGGCGACAATTCTCCGTGCAGTTTTATATTTTGCAGATTTGGAACAGTAATAGTGTATGTAAACAGTGTGTGATCACTTAACAACTGGTAACAACGTATCGTAAAATGGCTAAATCCCTGGTCTAATAATTTAGCCTGACTAAAAAATCGCGCTCCTGGTGGCCACCTGCCCAGAAGTTTGCCACCCCCCTTGGGGAAACAGTTGCAGACTGACTAGTGTAAACACAGGCTACATAAAATCAACAACACGACAATCTAAATAGATGAACAAAGTCAGCTTTCATAACAATATCTTTCATTTACTACATATTATTCATTCGACAAGGTATCGCAGTAGGTGCAAACCACAATCCCAAAAGATGCTCGCAGCTATTATGCACAACAGCCACCTAATATCTGCTTAGAGAACCTCGCACGTCGATGACACAAAGAGAACCCCGTGTTCTAGCTGCGAACACGAAAAAAACAGCTACTCACAATACTCCGTCCGGAGGTCCTGACCTCCACGGAGTTAAGCTAAGGTCCCAATTGGGAAAAGGGGCCCTTGCGGGTAGTTCCCGGGCTGTTTTTTTACCACTTTCGGGCGGGACCCCGACGTGGCCCCGCGGGGCACCGGCGGCTACCGGGCTATTTTTGGCCCGTCGGGGCCCCGATAAGAATTTAATTCTGAGTTAAATTCTACCCGGACCTCGCTGACAAAAAGACGCCGTGACCTCATCGTGAGAACACCGAGAGGTACCCCTCCGGTTGCCGGCATTCCACCGGGACACATTTGTTACGTCACAGACCAGATGAACAGAATAAAGGTGTGTACTTCGTAAACCCGGGTAAAATGTGTGACCTCACAGATCAAATGATCACAACAAATACGTGAATTCTACATTACGTATAGGTCAAAACAAGACATCGTCAGAGAATCTGCCGGGTACCTGCCGGGTGCCTTCCGGATACCGACCAAAGAGGGTGACAAAATTTCTACCAAAATGCTACTGAAGGAAACTTTTAATTGTGACCATGACAGCCGATGCCCGCTCGACTCCTGAACCCGGCCGGGGCCAGCCGGGGCTACATCCCCGACGGGCACCGGCGTAATTGGGACCTTAGCTTAACAAAGGACCTACCTTTCTGGCAGATGTAGCTGTAGGTATTGCCACAGGACGTGTCCTCCCATTGCCAGTTGGTGTCCGGTGTGAGTATGGCACACTGCTCGGTGTTGGCGCCGTCGTTCGAACTCACCTCACCGTCAGAGGCCGGGCCCCAGTTGGTGAAGTCACAGTCAATCAACCTGTGTTTCCATGGAGATGTGATGAGCATTAATTTTCGTCCGTTAAAAAACAGCTTTCGACAATACTACGTACAAAGCAGCTGCAAATATATGCCATAAGGCCACAGCAAGTAAATTTAATGGATGACATCTTCCGCAGACTCCAAATCTAATGCGAGCGGGTGAAAAAAAAACAAGGCGGGCCGAAAAAAAAGGTTTCTATATTTTAAAATTTTAACTCAATCATTTTACAAATGGTTTTGATTCAGCGGGAACATCACATATACACAGTCAGTATCACATATCACTTCATCAAAGTAACAAACAAAACATCAGAAATCAGAGCCTTTTCTTGTCTCCTCTCTTCATATTTATCTGCCATCTAAGTTCTGGCATGGCATGCATCTTTTCCCAATTTTGGCATGTTGACTGTCAACAAAATTTCTTGTTTTTATTTGGAAATTCATGCGGAAATTAATGTGCGCGCTGATGTCATCCATGAACATTAACATCTGTGTCCATAATATCACCAGGGTCCATAATATCGCCACCTTGAGAAACAGTGTGCTTAAAGATATTTTTTACTGTAACATACTTTTGGTATGCACTCCTTCACACATCAAATGTACATACCTAGGGTATGTTACAGTAGAAGCACACTATTTCTCAAGATGGCGATATTATGGACCCTGGTGATATTATGGACACAGATGTTACTTGCTGTGGCCTAACGAAGGCAACTTTTTTGACAAAGTTTTTGGAGGGTTTGCCAGAGAATGTCATCCATACAATCAAATCAACATGGCCTTACTGCTATTTTGTGTTCTTACCATGTTTTTTAAAAGAATTTCCAACATATAATCACAAGACGTGGTGACGGCACACTCAAGTTTTTTCTTGTATTAATGCCGCCACCAACACAGGGGACAATACAACACTCATTTTCATCTGAGCGAAGTGAGGAAAGTCGTGTTAAGTGCCTTTCCCAAGGGCACAAGATCGGTGGCATGTCAGGACTCGAACCCAGGACATCTAGGTTCCGAGTCGAGCACTCTGCCGCCACGCCACATGACCCCATTCTTACCATGTTGAGTCGAGGTATGTCCAGCCTCCCTCTATCATAGGAGACCGGATCATGTGCATCCAGTAGCTGGCTTCTGGGTGATCCATGATCATGCCCTGCACTAGCGCCTGTATGCCTTTAGTCTTCGGCCTTAGGACGTTACTACCTCCCAAACTTTGGCAGAAGTTCTACGGTGGGATGCAAAACATTCAACCGACATTAGAATGAATATTTAATGATCTTTATTGCATGTTCATTCCCCGGGGGGATAAATACACGGATGTACAAAGTACAATGTACTACAGAGTACTACAACAATAGTAATAAAGAAAGGCTAACATCAGGTCTAAGGTATACATAATACACATATTATGACGTCTATATTCGTACATGATATGATATATTTAAAAGTGTCTTCCTTTGATAATGTTTTACATTTTTTTGTCGAGCTTAATTGAACTGAACAGTAATTTACGTTCCTTATCATATAATATACACTCAAGCATAAAATGCGATTCATCTTCAATACAAGAATTGTTACAGAATTTACATAGTCTATCTTGTGATAGAAAGTTTATTGCAAACACTTGCCCGAGGGCTAATTGCAGTTACAAACAACATAAGAAAGAAAATACAGTGGTATATGAGACTATATCTACGTCTAGTATTATACTATATTCTACAACATACATGGTACTAGTTTTACTGGGTTTGACTCCTTTTTAGGCAATGGAAGACGAATTTACCCACTTCTTCTAATATGTGAAGATATACATACTATATTTTTCGTTCCATAAGACAGCCTGGCCAGCCCCCGGTTTGGAAATGTGACCTCAGCATATAAGCTTGTCAATATCTACTCACATTTGCAGAACCCATAGTCGCCGTCTCTGTAAACAGTTTGAAGCAGGCTCCACGGTACGCTGTCCACCCATCTAAACAGTCCTCTTCTTGTGCTGTCCCTAAAGGAGGGGGGGCAAAAATGTCAAAGGCATCCAGTGCAGTGTTTAGGGCTTGGAAACCAGATTTTTCAAAGTCAATATTCTAGTCATGTAATATCTACATACTTAGTTGCATATTGGCCCTCGTGGAGCATAAATTCCCCAAATTCTGACGTAAAATGGTTAATTACTAGAAGGGCCCTGGTCTGATTTTTAGGGTGCCTCCCAGAAAATAAATGATCATCTTGGGGCTTGTTTCTGCAGGTTTGAATACCCAATGTAGGAAATACTGATTAAAATGTGCTAATGTGAAGTAGTATGTGTCAATGCCACAAAGATTGGCTTATTTAGAATATGTCCAGTTTTGCTGTCCTGAAATTGGACGCCTTTAATTAAACCCTGTCACACATTCACGACCTTCCCCCAACTTCATTCCCGAACACCAGCTGACTTTTAGGAGCAGATTTAGCCAACGCAACCTTTCTATGCGAATCGAAACGAATTTGAGTTAAATTTGAGTCAAATTCAACCCCCAAATACGTCTCATGACGTACTCTTGAATTTTTGGCTGGTGTTAAGTCGGATACCAGCCAACTATGGCCGAACCTCCCGACCAACCCCCGAATGTTTTAAACATTTTAAAATATTTGGCTGGCGCAGCCGAATAGTAGGCGAACACCAGCCAACTTTGAGCCGACCTACTCCTAACTATCATGGTTGGTGGGCGTTTGGTTGGTGATCGGGAGGCCAAATTGGTGAATGTGTGACTGACGATTAGTTCTTTTGGACAAGCGGACGCGGCTACACACACACACACACACACACACACACACACACACACACACACACACACACACACACACACACACACACACACACACACACACACGACGACGACACACACACGACACACACACACACACACACACACACACACACAACACACACACACACACACACACACACACACACACACGCATACACACAAGCATACACACACACACACACACACACTCACTCGCACACACACAAACACACACACTCACTCACACACACACACACACACACACACACACAAACAAACACACGCATAATCACACACACACACACACACACACGCATACACACACACAATCAAACACATACACACACACACACAGACACACACACACAGATACTCACACACACAGACACACACACACACACACTAACTCTCACACACACACACACACACACACACACACACACACACACACACACACACACACACACACACACACACACACACACTCATTCACACACACACACACACACACACACACGCACACACACATACACACACACGCATACACACACACAGACACTCACACACATACACACACACAGACACACACACAGACATGCACACACACAGACACTCACACACATACACACACACAGACACACACACACAGACACACAGACACACACACACAAACACACACACAGGCGCGCGCGCGCACACACATATGTACAAAATGTACGCACGCACGCACGCAAACATATTCGCAAACGCACATGCAAATGTCAATATAAACACTCGGCATCAGCACATACAAATATCCATAGCATAAACAATCGTAAAAACACATACAAATACCCATAACATAAACAATCGCAAAAACACATACAAATATCCATAACATAAACAATCGCAAACGCACATAAAAATATCCATAGCATAAACAATGTTCAACCGTAGCGTCAACCTGTGTTTGTGAAATAAAAAAAAACAACTTCCAACAACAACAACAACAAACCAGCCAGAAAATGGATCCCATATACAATTATCTAGTGACATTTGAATCAAGAGACAAAGTTACAAACAGACTCGATGGAACAGATATAACTGTCTGAAAAAAAAATCAAACTGTTCTCCAACTCAACAACGAAAATAACTCTCCACAAATTTTCGACTGAATCATTACTAGGGTCATAAAGCTGATGAAAACTGAGCAATTCAGTCGAAAATTTCTGCTGAGTTCTTTTCGTTGTTGAGTTGGAGAACAGTTTAATTTTCTTCATGTATTTTACCAACTCACGCTAGATATATAACTGTCTTACCGATGCCAACTAGAGCCACCAAAAGACCAAGAACCAGACAGCGCATATTGTTGAAGAACTTGTCCTCCATGTTTTGACAACTGCCTGTCTTGTCTGACCGTTTATAAAGTAGTTCCCTGGCAACACATGTTGTTTAACGCTGTTTGACTAAAGAAAGAATGGCTCGTATAACGTCATTAGTGATCATCCAATCAAATGCTTCTTTTATAATTAGAGGACAATATCCTCTTCTTTCTGGACGCACCTGCAAGAGGTCATTGCCCTGGGACGACCAGTGTTGGTGGTGCGAAAAATAAAAATTGACATCGGTCTTAAAGGCATCCAATGCGATTTCAGGGCAGCAAAACTGGAAATATTTTGAACCAGACAATCTTTGTGATACTGACACATACTGCTTCGCATCAGTACATTTCAATCAGTATTTTATTCTTTGGGTATTTAAAACTGCAGAAACAAGCCCCGAGATGAGTCATTTATTTTCTGGGTGGTACCCTAAAAATCAGCCCAGGGCCCTTCCAGTAACCAAATGGTTACAGACTGGCCAATTTGATACTGCCTTACCCCCTCCAAAACATCTGCTTGGAGATTAGTAGACTTCAAGTTACAGCTGTATGTGTTCCTTTAAAGCGACGGTCACAACCCGCCGTACGTGCTTCTGCGTGCTGTCTACGTGCAAAAACGTGGGCAAATGTAGGGCATCCGTGCGTGGTGAGTACCACCTCCGTACGGAATCCTACGGATTTGGGAGCACGCAGACACGCCGTAGAAGTTTAAGTGCATGTAAAACTTTTTCTACGTGCGGTCTGCGGATTCACCACCTGTGCGTGCGAGTACGAGCGACGTGCGTGCCCCGTACGTGCCGTGCGGAAGAAGCACGTGTGAGTACGGCCTCCTTACGGTAAAGTTGCAATCGCACAGAGATCGTACGTTGTAAGCACGTACAACTCACTTACCACTTTCGCAACGTACAATGCACGCAACCGCTCACGGCCAGACTTAACGTACAGACCACACTCTTACACCTTGCGCAACCGTGCGAGTGACGTGCGTAGACGCCACTCCTTCCCCACGTTTTCAGAAAAAACGTAGCAGACGTAGCCTCCCAAAAAACGTACGGACAAAAAGAACGTACGGCGAGTTGTGACCGTCGCTTAAGGTAAGGTGGTCTCGTGGCTGGGGTTGTTGACTCGGGGGGTTCTGGGTTCGAATCCCTGGCAGACCCCTTTGTTGTGTCCAAGTGAAAGACACTTTACTGTTTACACCGATTTCTTTTATATTCCAACATGTAATCACAAGACGTGGTGACGGCACACTCAAGTTTTTCCAACTTATATAAATGCCGCCACCAACACAGGGGGCAATACAATACTCATCTTCACCTGAGTGAAGTGAGGAAAGTCGTGTAAAGTGCCTTTCCCAAGGGCACAAGATCGGTGGCATGTCAGGGCTCGAACCCGGGACCTCTTGGTTCCGAGTCGAGCACTCTGCCGCTACGCCACACGACCCCACAACCGATTTCCTCACTTGATTCAGGTTTAAATGAGTTACCTAAATTTGTTAGGGACGTCCTCTCAGATAGGACTTAAAGCCAGAGGTCCTGTGTTTAAGGAGAGCCACACCCCGTGCACGTTAAATATCCCACCACAACTATAGAGAAGAGCAATGTTCCTTCCCAGTGTGAGTGGTTCAAACCTTACAGTCTGGTCTCAGGTTTGACATCTTGAAGCGGTGACAGTCACCTGTTATGTCAATACTTCCACAAATGTGGTAAATCTTCATTAATAAATAAAGAAAATAAATAAATTAGGGCATTCTTGTAAGACCCAGAGACAAACCTTGTGGGGTCGTGTGGCGTAGCGGCAGAGTGTTCGACTCTGAACCAAGAGGTCCCGGGTTCGAGTCCTGACATGCCCTCGATCTTGTGCCCTTATACCCCCGTCACATTGCGCGTAAATCGATCGGCCGACTAGTTGGCGACCTCTAAACGACATTTACGGCCGTAGTACGCCCGATGTTCCGTCGAGCATCGCGCGAATTTTCGGGATCGCCGGCGATTTTTTGGAGTCGGCCGAAGCTCGCTGACACGCGAAACGTGTTCTTAACATCAGCGACTAGTCGCCGGCGATTTTTGAGGTCGCAGAGCTCGTTTCCAGCTCGCGCGTACCTCGCCCGTAGCTCGTCCCTGAACGACCGAGAGTCGACCGATATTCGGGCGTACATCCCACGAGTGTCGGCCGTTCTTTGTCTTCAAAAATCGGGCGATAGTCGCTGAATACGGTCGACCCTCGCGCGAGCTTCGCGAAATATTCGGGAGACCCTCTTCCGTACCTCGCCCGACTTGCGCAACGTTTTTAAAATCGTGCGTGCTTCGAGCGATCTTCGTGCCAGTGTCGGACGAAGGTTCTACGAGCCTCGGTCGAGCTCCTGTGAAGTTATTATTTATTTGGCACCTGTGACATTTATTTCAGATTTTATTGACAGTATACTCTGTAAAGTTTGCAGGAGCAACGTCCCACTGATTGTTAACGTTATGTTTACGAGAAAGGATAAAAATAGATAAAATTGTCCTTTTTGTACTTTTGTTAAATCAACATTTGTTAACACTTTTAAAAAATTAAAAGGTTTTCACTATATAAAGTCAAATGCCTAGTCTAGATTTTGAACCCAACTGATTGAACGCAAATGAAATCCTTTACTCTTGTTCCTTTAGGAGGTTGTATAATAAATTGACTTTTACACTTGTTCATTCTGGAATAAGGTTGACTTGTTTCTTATGGTGCCCACAAGAACGTCATGTGATAGAGAGATATTACTTACTAGTTGAAGTTTATATTGCATGGCTCTTTTTACCTCCGTCTGCTTTGATGCCATTGAATGGATAATAAACTTGTTTACCGGAGGATTCATACTATTTTAGACAGAAGTAGATCTATAGAGGTTAAGTTTTAGAATAATATATCTTATTAGCTTTGTTCAGGTACACGTATACGTGTATAAAAAAGATTTTGATATAATGATAATCATTATGTTGTTGTACATTTTGGTTGAATGGTCTAGACATCGTGCGAACATCGATAGATCGTCGAACGTAACTCGGGCGACGTACGCCCGTGTGTCGAGCGAGCTTCGGCCGACTCCTGTCTGCTTAAGAAGGTGGTCGTTGTGTTAACCAGACGGTAGTGTAAATTTGTGGCTCTTGTGGTCGTATTTGAGTTGGATCTTTCACAGAATTCCTGTTTATATTTCTATTTATTCTGCCAGTCCGCTCCATTACTTTGCAAAAAATATTACGGCAGGTCAAACATAAAAATTGGCCAAACTATTCATGTTTAGGTGGATACACTGGCCTTGCTTCATCTGCTTGCCATGTTATAGGGACTTCATTATCATAGATGTATTCCCAAGCGATCGCCCGAGCCTCGCACAATGTGACCACGAGGATTTTCAAGCCAAAAATACGCGCGATCGTCGGTCGATCTCAAAATCGGCCGATCTTTCGGCGATTGACAAATACGGCCGAAGCTCGTCGACAATGTGACGGGGGTATTAGGAATGGCACTTTACACGACTTTCCCCACTTAAGTGAACATGAGTATTGTCCTGTCCTGTATTTGTACTTTCTGTTGGTGGCGGCATAAAATAAGTTGCTATAACTTGAGTGTGCCGTCGCCATGTTTGGTCATGACATGTTGGAATAAAAAATAAAAATTAAAAAAAAAACCTTGGATGTCCCCCGGATTCAATCGTTAAGACGTCGACGAGACAATATAGTATGCCAGATAGACAGGAAAGGTAAAGTATTGAACAGCTCTTCAGTTTGGTCTTCCACCAACACAAGGGAAAATTAAATACGTATTTCCACCTGAGTGAAGTGAGGAAGACGTGTGAAGTGCCTTTCCCAATGGCACATGATCGGTTACATGGCAGAATTCGAACCATCAGCAACCAAAACACCTATTAGGCATTCCTAATAATCGTCCTTCCTTAGGACATTACGATTTTTTTGCGATTTTTTTATCATACCAATATTTCACCGACTAGATATGGTGACGACACACTCAAGTTATATCAACTTATTTTATGCCGTCACCAACGCAAATAGAGGACAAATACGGAACAGGACAATACTCATTTTCACTTAAGAGTGGAAAGTCGTGTAAAGTTTTTTCCCAAGGGCACAATATCAGGACTCGAACTCGGGACCTCTTGGTTCCAACAAAGCACACGAGCACGACCCCACATTACGATTTGTTCTCCCAAAATCTGCTTGGAGAATACCCAAGCTCGTACAACACGTACTGATTAGATTTGTCAACAACTAATTAACTAAGATTGAACCGGTAATTAGTGATAATGAACCACTGACCCGGCACCACATCGGGACAAAAGATGCCATCACGTTAAGTCGTCCTGCTAATGAAATAGTTTAGACACAGGGATTGAGTAACAGAGACAGTTTGGTTTAAAAATTACTTGGTTTTGTGTTCATGGTGTGTTTGTGAGATCAGGTGTTCTTTTTTGTGGTGCCGTGGAACTCCCACTGTCGTCGCCGAAACAAATGTCCGTCTAGTGGGGTGGTGTGGCGTAGCGGCAGAGTGCTCTACTCGGAACCAAGAGATCCCGGGTTCGAGTCCTGACATGTAACTGATCGTGTGCCCTTCAGAAAGGCACTTTATTACACGACTTTGCTCACTCCACTCAGGTGAAAATGGGTATTGTATTGTCCCCGTGTTGGTGGCGGCATTAATGATGCGTCTAGTATTTTTGATGCGCCTAGACAAACATGATCTGTTCCCACATTTTCCCGCTACGCCAAACGACCCCACGTAATACGGCTTTCCCCAGCCGAAGTTAGGTACCCATTCACACCTGGGTGGAGTGAGGAAGGTTGTGTAAAGTGCCTTTCCCAAGGGCACAACGTCGGGGCGCATGTCCAGACATGTCCCGGGTACAACTCGGGATCGAACCCGGGTCTCCCCGTGTCATAGCCGAACGCTCTACCACTACGACATCCGACGCCACACGAATAGCCAGCTGTGCAGTCGCTGGTTAACACATGCTGACAAACAAACTAGTAATCATCAGTAGGGATAAAAAAGTTAACAACTATCTGTGTTTTCAGTCACTGTGTTACACTGTGTGTGGTGGCCAATCAAGTCGTCTTTATGACTAACTAAAGTGAAGTCAAGGCCGTGTCAGGTCTATGACACACGTCGACATCACACTGACGCAGAGACATCTCCTGGCAACGTCTTTGCCATTGTGTCACACAAAAACAGTCCCTTGTGAGGTCGGACCAAGAGGTCCCGAGTTCTAATCCTGCCATGTCATTGACCGTGTGCCCTTGAGAAAGGCACTTTACACGAATTTCCTCACTTGACTCAGATAAAAATGAATATGTTGTCCGTTGCCCGATAGAGTGAACTACTCTGGTTAAATAAAATAAATGAAAATGAAATGAAATGAACTAACGAGATGCTTCACGTAGATTGTTTTGGGGCTATTTCAAAGTATTCAAGTATGAAATAACAACGAAAATGTGCTAAAATATCAATAAATGTCAATATCAGACAGATTTTCTCATCTCATACAGAATATTTTTGTCACAGTTTGCTGCCCTGAAATTGCCCTGGATGTCTTTAACATTTTGGTACCGAAGTCTAGTATAGGCTGCGAGTACGCTTAGAAATTTTTAACGGAGTGGTTCAATGCAAGGCCTATACGACCACTTCTCGGCATTAAACTAGAAATATGAGAGAAACATGGCTATGTCAAGAGATGGCGGTGGACGTTTTTGCGATTTGAAATCCTGTAGACTGTAGGTTGGTGGGAAACACTTGTCAGGGAGGGAATTCCAAAGCTTGGCCGTACGGGGCCGTTTTTTTTTTTTGTTTTATTTACTTCATCGGTCACCACAAAACAAGGCTCATGGGAGCCACTTAAAATGTTTTGGGTTACAGAACAGCCAGTGAGGACAGATGTTTGTTGACCTTAGACTTGAAGAGTTTAAGGTTATACTCATAGGGGAAGCAATCACGAGGTAGCTTATTCCAAAGTGATGTTCTTGTTCTTGGAAAGAATTAAGCTTTCAGCGTGGAACTTCCTCCTAAGAGGTAGTGAATGGAGGAAGAAAGGGTGATTTGCTTCGGTGGAAGTGGCAAGACGTGTCCTTGTTGAGAATGTTCGAAGTGGAGGCACTAGCGAATGAAGTTCCACAGAGCATTTGCCGTGGAAGTAGCGATAAAATAACGCAAGGCTTGCAACGTTACGCCTATGTGAGAGTGTTTTTTTATGACGATTTACCACATTTGTGGAAGGATTGACATAACAGGTGACTATCACCTCTTCAAAGATGTCAACCCCGAGACCAGACTGTAAGGTTTGAACCACTCTCACCGGGAAGGACCCCTACTCTTTTCGATAAGTGTAGTGGGTTCTTTAACGTGCGTGGGGTGTGGCTCTCCCCAAACACGGGACCTCCATTTAACCATTCCCTAGCCGAAGCTAGGTACTCATTTACACCTGAGTGAAGTGAGGAAAGTGGTGTAAAGTGTCTTTCCCAAGGGCACAAGATCGGTGACATGGGCAGGGTTCCAACCCGCGACCTCTCGGGTGTGAGCCGACTGCACCACACGACCCCACAGGTTGTAGGGTGGCGAACAAGTCACTCCCAACAAGATTTCTGTACGGGAATTAGAGGGGAAACATTACACTTCCAGGTCAACAGGTGTTAGATGTGCCTTACGTGAAGATCTTGTTAAACTGTCAATCATTTCGAAACCTCGTTGCGTGTTGCTATGGCCGGTATAATCATATAACGTTACGTATATAAACTATATCCAGCACAAGCAGAGAAGACTTGGGGCAGTCTCGCGAGTGTTTACAGTTGTTCCTAAAATCTTAAGAAGTGACCAAGGAACATGTGGTGTCTTCGGATTCTCGTCGGGTTTCTCGTGGTTACCTTCAATTTTGGTAAGGCAGCTAATTTTTGCTTGGTCCATAACAAACATCCTATGCATTTCATCACAATCATTTGTACTATCTTTATTATACATTTTTGTCGCTTTCGGTTGTACCTAGTATAGTAGCGCGTTTGGACCCTGCCTCTGGCCCAAGAGGTTGGGAGTTCGAATCCCAACTGTTGTCGCTCATCTGACAAGCACGCTACTGGAAAGAGTCGAAGTCTCTAGGACGGGACGTTAAGCCGTGGTCCACCGTTTGTTTGTCGAAAAGAGCTAGGGGAATTTCCCCGGTACAACGAACCTGTAAATACTGTACATAGCGTCTGTCTTCTCTGTTTACTATGTCCTAGAATTGTCAACGACCTCTTTTTGTTTCATTAGTTTCTTCATTAGGCCACATCGACTTACATGTAATTGTATGGATGGCATTGATTTTTGTCTGTTGTCAAAAAAAAAAGATCACGTCATCAGAGGCTCTGGCCTGGCTCTAGGCCTGGGTAGTCCATGATAGTTAGTAACAATGCAGAGCCGGTGGTAACTCTAGATGATGACACCCAGGCTACCGAAGCTCCACGACTCAAGAACTTAGTACATACACACAGTGCAGATGCATAATTCCGCAAAAAAGTCAGCATGTGCCGGCTTGTCGTATACGTCGCTATGTACTGCCGCAAATTCACAATACCAGCTTTGCATTCCTGTGGTTTAGTAGCATTTTTATTTTTGGCCCGAATTTTCTTATTCGCCCGCTTAAGTCGGTGTGGCCTTAGTGTAACATAAATTTCACACTGTTCTTCCTAGAGTCCGAAAGGGTGGTGATGGTGATGTTAATCACCGTGTGGCCACATGTGGCCAACAGGAGACGGAGGGTTTGCCAAGTCCCCGTACAGGTGCACGTGATTTGTAGTGAAGTGCCAACTTCTAGATTATAGGATTTACACCATCGCACACTGGGGCATGCCCCTACTCTTTTTTGAAACATGTGGTGGGATCTTTTACGTATATGGAGTGTGGCTCTCCCAAAACACGGTACCTCGATTTAAAAGTCCTATCCGAGGGACGTCCCTAACCGAAGCTAGGTACTAGGTATTTTTATGTGCTATAAAATTTTTTTCTATTCTAAAAAAAATTCCTCCCGTGACTTTGTCAGTAAACATCTTCTACAAGTTCTCCTAAATTTTTTGGGACTTCGGCACAAATTTGTAAAAGTAATAACGGAAGTCTTAAGTAAGACTGTCTGGGGGTCCAAATGGACCCCAGCCATGTATTTGCACTTTCCTACACACGAAATTGTTCGCATGTCCTCAATATGTCTTCAAGGAAGCATTATTGCTTTAATATTAGGCAGTTTGCCATGTTCATGCCTGCAGGCCTCATCCTATTATTGCATAAATTATGATAATGAGCTGGAAATTTTTAACACTTAATCATGTCAAAGTAAACGTCTTAATATGTTTAACCGATATATGTGCAAAGGTCACTGAAAGGATGCAAAAAGGAATATAAATTTGATGGGGTCCATTTGGAACCCGTTCGGGCATTAACGTCACAAAAAAGTTCGGGTGTTTGAGGGTTAAAATGTTATGAGTAGTGATAGTGGGGAGGTTTTGCACACGGTGGTAAATAACTACGCCACACGATGCCGCCATTTACGTTTGTGCTAGGAAAAAAATGTTGTGTTTCCTGTTTCAGTCCTGAAAAAAAAAGGTCGGTAGGTAGGGATTATCTTTTTTTTTCTTTCTTTTTTGTATTAGACTTTTGCGATCTCTAGTGATCAAACTTATACAATACAGTTTATCAAAGTAAAAGTTACCTGAGGACACTTGTAGTTTCAATGTCAGTATGTTAGAAAACCGATTGTACAACGTTTCCTCACTCAGGTGTCAAATCATGGGGCTAGAAAAGGTTGATCAGCTCGAAAAATTGCATAGGGGTCCACCCAGAAAAAGGCTTGGGTCGGCAGAAAAAAAAGATAGGGTAGGCAGTTGTTTCTAGGGTCGGTCGGGAAACAGCAAAAACATTTTTTTCATGTTCACAATGTACGTGCACACAACTTCACCGTCCAAATTCCTTGTTCGAAATCTTTTACAGTGACAGTTTCCCTCCCCGTACGGCCAAGCTTTGGAATTCCCTCCCTGACAAGTGTTTCCCACCAACTTACAATCTACAGGCTTTCAAATCAAACGTTCACCGCCATCTCTTGACATAGCCATGTTTCTCTAATATTTCTAGTTCAATGCCGAGAAGTGGTCGTATAGGCCTTGCATTGAACTACCCCGTTAAAAAATGATAATGATGAAAGACCTTTATTGTACATTTGTGCTCTAACAAGCTAAGAACAGGTCATGGATAAACAGGGAAAAGAATACAGCAATGACACTTACATACTATATATACTAATGTGATCTACTATTTACAGGTTCAACTTCTTCTCGCTTCTTGACGCAGTTAAAGATGTACGAACATATTGAGCTAATGATACATGGTTTGTCAAGTTTCATGAGGAATTCGAATTTTTCTATTCTATCTAAATGCCTAAAGCTTGGGAACTTATCTATTAGGCCATGTTGATGTGATTATATGGATGACATCCTCTGGGAACCCCAAAACTGATGCGCGCGTGCGAATAAAAAAAAGTTTTGCAAAAAAAAAAGTTGCTTTCATTATGAAATCTGCGTGGTCATAAAGGTTGAAAAAATGACACAGAGTATGGTTTGGTGAATAATCTACTCTTTAAATTCATTTCTCTTTACATTTTCGTCTTTTTTGTTTGATTTTGGCATTTTGCGACATTGGTATCATTTTTGAATATTCTTTTTGCAACTTACGGTATATATTTGCTCATTTTGCAACTGTTTTGTACGATTTACAGTATGGTTGAAAACTTTTTTTTTTTTGGAAACGGCCGAATATTCATGCGCGCGCGGATGTCATCCATATAATCAAATCAACATGGCTTTACATAAGTATAGAGGGAATCCCTCTCATTTCTATATAATGTGCAGTCAACTACAAAATGGCATTCATCTTCAATATTATCTAGATTACAAAATTGGCAGATCCTTTGCTCTAGAGGAATGCGGTTGTGTCTGCCTTTTTCTATGTGGAGTTTGTGTGAACTTATCCGGAGTTTTGTGATGACTGTTCTGTGTCGAATGTTTGTAATTCTCAGATATTTTTCCTCGTGGTAAGTATTTTTTAGTAATCTGTATGTTCGTAAATGTGCTATAGTGAGTTGAGTTTTCAGGAACTGTGCCCTCTCCTATCCAGGTGGTACTTTAGCGTGTGAGAGCGGGTGGACAGAGTACCGAGGGGCCTGCTTCAAACTCTTCAATGAGGAAGTCACACTGGCGTTTGCGGTGGTAAGGCGAAATAACTTTTTTTATTTACTTATTACCTACATGAAAATGTAGGTATTTTTTTCGGACTGTCTGTGTGTCTGTCTGAGTGTCTGTCTGTGTTTCCGCATACTTGTGGTCAGCATAACTTCAGAACGCCTTTATGGATTGTGATGATATTTGGTATGTTCGTAGTTATTAGAAAGGCAAAGGTCAAGGTCAAATATGGACCTCCTGGTGGATGACCTTGGTACTCCAGCAGAACGTCCGGTTTGTCCTCAACATGCTATATGGTCTTTACTTTTCGGTGAAAGATAGATTTTCCTGTCAGGAACAAGCGGTGTGAGTTTGCTCCCCTAGCAGCTTGTTCTGTGACTGCAGGGGAGTTTCGAATGAAATCTTTAAAAGCGGAAAATCAAGAAAGAAATGACGAGTTTTCATGATTTTAGGTATGTAGATAGCAGAAGAACTTTATTGCACGACAATTGCACATGGTACAATAGCTTAGACAGAGATGTACACAATTGAATGTAAATTATGTAAATGCGACACAATTGGAATAATTAATGAGGAAATTCTAAAAAAAAAAACATCATTGTACATTATAGGCTTTGATACATGTACATGTAATGTATGCAATCCCTGGCACGCTGAACATTAACAGAGACAAATTATGCAAATAAACAGCTAATTTGCATAATTAATACAAAAATGCTATGATCTCTTAAAGGGAGATGAAGGACATTTCATACTTGTGACATGTGCATGTCTATATCTTCTTTTTCCATGGCTATATTTGAAACTTACTTGACACGGTCGTCCAAGGTAACTTCATTGTAAGGCCACAGCAAGTAATTTTCATGGATGACATCAGCGCGCGCATTAATTTCGCCTGATTTTGGAAAAAAAAAACAGGAAATTTTGTTGCCTCTGACAGTGGTCAACATGCTGAAAATGGGCAAAGATGTCTGTTGCCATGCCAGAACGTGGATGGCAGAAAACTATGAAGAGAGGAGACAAGAAAAGACTCTGATTTAATATTTTGTTTCTTACTTTATTGCAGTGATATTTGATGCTGGCTGTGTATATGTGTCGTTCCTACTGAATCAAAACCATTTGTACAATGTTTGAGTCAAAATTTTGAAATGTAGGAACCTTGTTTTTTCGGCCCGCCTTGTTTTTTTTTCGCCCGCTCGCATTAGATTTGGAGTCTGCGGAGGATGTCATCCATAAAATTTCCTTGCTGTGGTCTAACTTCAAAAGGCTTGTGTCTGATTCGATTTATGGACAAGTTTGGGATAAAATTAAAACCAGCACGCCAGGTACTTCTATCTATGACCTGAGGCAGTTATGTATCTAAGGCCATGTTGATTTGATTATATGGATGACATCCTCTGGGAACCTCAAAACTGATGCGAACATGCGAATAAAAAAGTTTGGCAAAAAATGTTGCCTTGAGTTCATTTTGAAATCTAACATCCGTGTCCATAATATCACCAGGGTCCATAATATCGCCACCTTGAGAAAAAGTGTGCCTAAAGATATTTTTACTGCAACATACCCTAGGTATGTACATTTGAGGTGTGCAGCAATGCATACCAAAAGTATGTTGCAGTAAAAATATCTTTAAGGACACTGTTTCTCAAGGTGGCGATATTATGGACCCTGGTGATATTATGGACACTGATGTTACGTGGTCATGAATGTAGAACAAATGCCTAACACACAGAGTATGTTAGATTTCAAAATGAGTATGGTATGGTGAATAATCCTTTTAATTTCTTCACATTTTCTTCTTTTCTTTTGGAATTGAGTTTGGCATTTTACGACATTACATCGTTTTCCAGTATTTTTTTGCAATTTACGGTACTATATTTGCCCAGTTTACAGCTGCTTTGTACGATTTAACAGTTATGGAAAAATTTTGTTTTAAAAACGGAGGAAAATTCATGTGTGCGCGGATGTCATTCATATAAACAAATCAATATGGCCTAAAAGTTATATAAAAAATGTGTATCCATAAATAATTTTATCAGGTTGGTAAACGAATGAATAGCAAAGTTCTTTGATCACATCCATTTATTTTTCACGAGCCGACGTTTCGATGACCGTCTGTCATCTTCATCAGGGCAATTCTGACTGGTTTACTGTGCACTGACGCTAGATGTTACTTGGTGCATAGTGCACTAAGGGTGTTACATGGTTCACAGTACACTTTTACTGTAAGTGTCATCGAAACGTCGGCTCGTGAAAAATAAATGGTTGTGATCTTTGCTAAGGCCATGTTGATTTGATTATATGGATGACATCCTCCGGGAGCCCCAAAACTGATGCGCGCGTGCGAATAAAAAAAAAGTTTTGCAAAAAAAAAAGTTGTTTTCATGAAATCCACGTGGTCATGAGGGTTGAACAAATGGGACAGAATATGGTTTGGCGAATAATCTAATCTTCAAGTTCATTTTCTTACAATTTCGTCTTTTTTCGTTTGATTTTGGCATTCTACGACATTGGAATAGTTTGTACTTATTTTTTTGTAACTTACGGTATATTTTTGCTCATTTTGCAACTGTTTTGTACGATTTACAGTATGGTTGAAAACTTTTTTTTTTGGAAACGGCCGAAAATTCATGCGCGCGTGGATGTCATCCATATAATCAAATCAACATGGCCTAATCAATGTGTATCCATACAGGATGCTTGCCGTACTTCTCTCATGCCTGAAACAACAGATACAACCATAGTGAAGCCGAAGACCCGCGGTATCCAGGCCTTGCTGAACGGGATGATGATCGGACATCCGGAGGACGACTTCTGGTTGAGCATGCTGAACGTGAATGCCAATGGTTGGGCATACCTGGATGCTGCAGTGTAAGGATGCTTTTTATTAATCTATTAGAGCACAGGCATGGAGTGCTCTTCACTCATTACATAAGATTTGGAAAGCGCCCATTAGAAAACAAACTAAGATCAAAGTGTTTAAGGCATGTTTTGAAACAATTCTTTTGTATGGGTCAGAATCATGGGTCATGAATATGTCGCATTCTAGAAAACTAAACGGAACATACACGAAGATGTTGCGAGTGGTTTTCAATACACCATGGTGGAAACACACTACTAATGAACAGTTATACGGTTCGCTACCAAATGTAACTTCAGTAGTCAAATGTCGACGACTAAGCTTGGCCGGTCATGTAGTACGTAGTGAAGAACCAGCCAGTAGGCTTCTACTCTGGAACCCTGATACCTGTAAGAGAAGAGTTGGCCGCCCAAACATAACAGTTAAGAAACTTATTGAAACTGAAACTGGCTTGGAGGGACATGAACTTTTCTCAGTGATGTATGACAGACAGTTGTGGCGAGCTAACTTTGTATGCTCCACCTCTACGGAGGATGAATGATGATGATGATGATGAGAGCACATAAAAGAAAATACAAGACGCACTCAAGTTACATCTATATAAGCGCCGCCATCGAACATAAAATAATTAACAAAGATAATACTAAATAAAAATACAACAGAAATATAGACAAAGAAAGAATACAAAGCAGGCACATTGGGGACAAATTAGACATCATAATATTAATAATATTGGCCATTGGAACATACTGCACACATCCGAAAATAGCTTTGAAAAACATAGCGTGCAACTTGTTGACTAGCTGATCCCATTCCTGCACCGTGGTAAGGGAGAAAGATGTAAACAAAAACTTATCATAGTGAACTTAAAATTCTAGCAAAAACATATTCTAAGAGGCAACCTAATTGTCAGCAATTCTGTAAGTTTTCATCCAGATATGTTGCAGTTTAAAGGAAATATGGCAGTTTTTCTGAGAGAAATGCTGCATTTTGGACTTTTCTACGCTCTGTTGCATTTCAATGGATGAATGCTTTTCTTACAGTCATTCAGTAAAGGCCAAATGCCCCGCCACGAGGTGAGATAATCCCCGATCAGGTGCGTTGACAACTGAATAAACCACCGAGTGAGCGTAGTGAACAAGGTGTTTTTTTATGGTGATGATAATGACCAGAGATTATCCCACCATAAACACCGAAGATAAGGCGGGGCATTAACGTTATTATCATAAAACTTATCCAACTGACACGGTTAGTTGACATAAATTCCTTTATAACATAATGACATAAATCCTTTATTACTGTATGAATACATTTCAATACATTACGAAGATTGTTTTAAGTGTACTTTCTTTACAAAATGCAGTATTGCAACAAATCATTTTACATGGGGGTGTCAAAAATTATGTACAGTCTTTTTCTGTTTAAATTTCATTAATATCTGGGACTACTGTTAGTGTCCTTTCCCATGTATAATGGTACGGTCCTAAAAGCGGTCGGCTATTCTAATAACCGACCACTTTTGATGTTACGACCTGATAACCAATGGGAAATGGAACCTTCTGATTGGCCTTCTGGTTATATGATAATACGTTAAAATTCTGTTAGTATTCGCTGTTGTCTTAAATAAGACTTCTTAAAGGGATCGAATGCAATTTTAGGGAGGAAAAACAAAAATATATTTTATATTCTGGATGAGGAAGTTTGTCTGATATTGGCATTTAATGCCTTTTCTTAGTACATTGTTGTCATGTTTGAAATAGCTCAAACAAGCTACTTGAGGCGTCTTTTATTTTTTGGCTAGGCCATGTTGATTTGATTATATGGATGACATCCGCGCGCGCATGAATTTTCGGCCGTTTAAAAAAAACAAAGTTTTCAACCATACTGTAAATCGTACAAAACAGTTGCAAAATGAGCAAAAATATACCGTAAGTTACAAAAAAACCATACCAATGTCGTAAAATGCCAAAATCAAACGAAAAAAAGACGAAATTGTAAAGACATGAACTTGAAGACTAGATTATTCGCAAAACCATATTCTGTCCCATTTGTTCAACCCTCATGACCACGTAGATTTCATAATGAAAACAACTTTTTTTTGCAAAACTCTTTTTTTATTCGCACGCGCGCATCAATTTTGGGGTTCCCGGAGGATGTCATCCATATAATCAAATCAACATGGCCCTACTTGTGTTTCATGACGATATTCTAGACTTTATGTGAATATGATAGAAGCCCTCTTATTCGACCTTGAACACAGGGTAAATGACTGTGATTGGACGAACTGGGGCCCGGCGTCCAATGGCGAGGCCAGTTCCAGCGACGGGGATTGGGGAGAACAGTGCGCCAAAATGACCGGCTCTACAGGTTGGGCGTGGGATGACGCCGGCTGTACAAGTCAGGGAAAATACATCTGTCAATCTGGTAGGGCTGTTTGTTTGTTTGTTTGTTTATTTTTTTAAGGAATCTCCAATTAGTGACACCACTACTCTTCCTGGAGTCCTCATGTAAAATACAAGACACACATTATAAAATACAAACATCATATCATTAACTACTATTTACATCAATTTCTCATTACTATAAAAGAAAAACTTAGCATTACATACAAAAGTTAGTCTAAATATTTATTTGCTGAATTTTGAAGAGTTAAGTACACCTTAAACATTAATCAATTACATCATCAATATTACATTGTACACGTTAAAGGCATCCAATTCGATTTCAGGGTAGCAAAACTGGAAATATTCTGAATAAGGCAATCTTTGTGATATTGACACATACTGCTTCACATTAGCACATTTGAGTCAGCATTTCATACTTTGGGCTTTTAAAACAAGCCCCAAGATGAGTCCTTTATTTTCTGGGTGGTACCCTAAAAATCAGCCCAGCTCCCTTCCAACAACATTTTCCGTCAGAATTTTGGGTATTTTTGCTCAATGAGGATCAATATACATTGGCATAGTGTGGTTTCAACTCAGTGTGTAGGTAAATGGCTAGAATATTGGCTTTAAAAATCCACGTCTCAAAGCCCTTCAAACTGCATTGGATGCCTTTAACCAAAAATTTCATGTTGAAGTGTTGCTAGCCACAGCAGGTGAATTACCCATTGTAAGGCCATGTTGATTTGATTATATGGATGACCTTCACGCGGGCATGCATTTTCTTCCGTTTTCCAAAAATAGTTTTCGACAATACTGTAAATAGTGAACGCAGCTGCAAAATGAGCAAATATATGCCGTAAATTGCAACAAAAAATATTGGAAAATCATACCCATGTCGTATGCCAAAACCAATTCAAAAGAAAAAGAAGAAAATATGAAGAAATGAAAATAAAGAGTATATTATACCCATACCATCTGTGTATTTAGCCATTTGTTCAACCTTCATGACCACATAGATTCCATGGTAAGGCAACGTTTTTGTCCAAATTTTTTTTCGCACGCTCGCATCAGTTCAAAGGTTCACAGGGGATGTCAGCCATATAATCAAATCAACATGGCCTAACGCTAGGCAGGGTGCTCTTACATGATGTAAATAAATGATTGAATGAATCATCTTAATTGTACATTTATGCTCTTAAAAGTCACGTATAAAGGTCACTATGCAAAATTTACAAAGATATTTTAGCATATACTGCTATCATGAAAGTTCATCTGTGTTGGTAGTTACATGTTTAAAGTTAAAACTTTTGGTCCAACACAAAAAGTTCTCTCCACTACTACCTACCAGTTAAACTACTTTGTGCAATTTAAACTTCTTGTCGCTTCTTTAAATAGTTTGCTGTAGATTTGTGAACATATTGAGCTCATAAAACACGTCAAATTGTCTAATTCCATGATAAATATTGTTTTAGGTTATATCTAATTTGAAACAGGGAAACTTATCTTGTATATAAATATACATGCATTTC